GGGGGTGCGTGTTATGAGAAATATTTTTGTTGTTATTAAATGCCTCTAACTGTTAAATCCATGCCGTGTATGCATTTATTGAATGTTTATATCTCTCCTCCAAATTTTTTTTGCTGTTTTTCTGTTCCGAATAATTTCTCATGACTGCCTCTGTTGCTCTGTATCTCTAAAGCTCTAAATCGATGACGACGACACAATAATCCAATGCCTATGGACTGTCCATCAAATGCATTTCCGATATATATACATATTTTTTACTGCTAATGCTTTTCTACTGCTATATGCTACTCGCAAATCCTTAATGGCAAATTTTTTGTCGCTTTTGCCAAACAAACATACATACACACATATAGAGGATGTGATGAAGAAAAAAAAATATGTGCGTGTATACAAACACGCTCCTCGTTAATCTATTGAATTTCAAATTCAAATCCGTTTAATGCTTAACTATTAGGCTTAGGCTTGAACGGGCCAGTAGCACAATATAGCAGTAAAATATTTTTTCAAATGGCAATGGAGGGGGGATTTCTAAAACGACATTGAACAATGGGTTTTGGAAATCGGCAGTAGAGTAGCCGGAGAATAAGAGTTGAGACTGTGACAATAAATCTATTTGCGAATAACACATATTTTATGATGCAACAACAACAAAATACATTGGATATAAATTTTCTAAATTATTCGCGAATGGTCATTGAGTATTTTTGTTGTGGACAAATATTTAATATTTTTTTTTGTTATACATGCACCAGCAACATATTCTCTAAATTTTGTTAGACAAAAATTGAGAATTAAAAAGAGGTGAGTAAATGAATATTTTTGGTTTCGCGTACGATGAAGATAACTGCTTGCAGTAGTTGCCTGGCTTTTTATTATTGAATATTTTCAATCTGTCGCGTTGCGGACGAGTTGTTGCTCCCGTAAAAAATTTATTGATGAAGGCTTTAGAATACTTTCGAAAATGCGATTTTAGCGACTGATTTTTTTGTGTTTCATCAGCTTGGTTCTCTTCATTTATTTGCTCGATACCTTTTATTATGCGTATGCGTTTAACACCTCTATATAAAGTTTTCTGTCATCAGCTTTATGTCGCGCGACTTTTTTCAAACCTCCTCCTCCTCTTGGCAAGCTTCATTCTAAATTCTAATAATATTGTATGTATGTTGATGCCATAAAAAGGTGCAAAAATGAATCAAAGTGAAATGCTTTTAACAAGCCTAACATCCTCCATAGGATGACACATACATATGGACATACAAAAATGATAATTAACATCGCATAGATCTCAGTGGTCAGCGCGAGTTCTAGAGTTTGTTTTTTTCATGAAAAAGATTTAAATCCTTTTTTCGCGGAAAATTGCTTCGTCCTCAATGCTTCTGATGATGATGACAACGCTCACGAGTGAGGACAAATTGCAATTTAGATTTCATATAATCAATCACATTATGTGTGTTGTCTGTCTGTCTCACTGTTGAGGACATTAAAAAGTTTTTTTTATATTATTTTCTATCGTATCTAATTTAGAGGATCAGTGTTGCTGCAAATGTATTTGATAAGCTGCTGATGGAAACAAATGCGGGGAAAATTTTCATTTTGTGCTAGAATATTTCGCGAGAATAAAAAAATAGAGGAGCTTGTTTCTCTCGGAAATGTAATCCTAATGTAAATAGGATACGATAAAATTTATGAAAATTATTTTGTTGTAAAATATAAAAGGCAACAGATTGAAATGCATTTTTTGCTATGTCACATACGTATCTATATATATTTTTTTTCTATGGAATTAGAGATTTTCCACAATGTGTCTATAACGACTCATGTTTCTAAATGTAGAGAGGCATAAGCAACAGTCAACAAAACTATTATCACAATCACATGCTTATATAAATGTTTATCATATCATAAAAGTATCAAGATATTTCAGGCAATATCAACAGGATCCTGATCCCCCCAACTCATACTCAAAAAGAAATTTGTTTTAATATTTTTTAACTCGACATCTTCTCATCGTTTCTGCAACAATTTGCTTTAAACTTTTATTATTCTCTGTGTGTGACATACAACATTTATATGGCATTGACAAACAACTTTATTTGTGTTTGTTGGATACATTTATGTGTATTTGAGAAACGATGATTGCAGATTTTCATGGATTTACTCAACTGAATTTTTTTTTCCTTTTCTTACTCACACAAATCTCTAATCCTTTTCTGAGGGATTTAGAAAAATGCTTTTTCCATCTTCTTCATTTTTTTTTTGGATGGAATGGAAAGATACATTTGGGAATAAGTGCGACATGCGATATCGAATTTTCTTTAAATTCTTCTTCCTTTTTTTGGAGGGAAAATATCCCTTTTCTGTGCATTAATCTTAATCTTTATCGAATGTTAATGCTTCTATTATTGTCTTTTGGATTTTTGACATATGATGTCCATCATTCAGGCAGGAGAGCATGGAAATGCTTATCTATCAAGTATATTTCCCGAATAGTACAAGTCGGTTAATCAAATAGAAATCGGGAGCCATGCTAGCATGACTTTGGCATGGTTCAGGCTTCAATTTATATCCAGCAAGTGTCACACCGGCTTAGTACCGGATTTCTTATCAATTAACCGACTTGTGCTGTTCGGGTTTGTTCATAATGATTTTATAGCATGACGTTGAAAGAGAGGACATTGTTATTAGGTGTCAGAAGATTCTAGTATGGCCAACAATCCTCATAACTATTCCACAAATGATCTTTAGATTTTCCAAGGCTTTGAACTAATAATTAATTCCTAGAAACTCTTAGAAATTGTCCTTAACAACAAAAGTCCACTACATTGTATCACAATATATCTAATCCAACATTTCCAAGACAAATTGTTGCACATCCTCAATAACACACATTTGCATCGTACACAACATCTCCATTCTCAACCAAAACATCCTTACTGCTCTACTTTTCAATTTCCTTAATTCCAAAAAGAAACTGCAACAAAGTCGCAATTCAAGTTTAAGTTCGTCATTCATTTAAGCAAATCATACAAAAAGCTCAACATTCCTTGCATGCAAAAAAAACACACTTTATTTCCCTTCCATCTCTTATCCGAAGGCTAAACTCTTTGATCGATGAGTTTCATTGTGTAAAAGTGTGACATGAATGGGAAAAAGGAAACGTGTAACTGAGTGAGTTTTTAGAAGGAAATGAAGAAAAAGAAATAAACACAGACAAAGAGCTGAGCTGAGATGAGATGAGAGAGCTAAAGCTACACAAGATGATGATGAAGGGCGGTGGGATGAGGGAAAAAAAAGTTTAAGAAGACGAAGAATGAAGAAAAGATTTATTGTAACTTAGATCGGAAAAATGCCGGATTAGAGAAACTGGGACAAAATAAATCCATAATCTCTATCGAGAAAATCGTTTTTTGTGCTTCACATTACTGTTTGTGCTTCTGTTGCCGTTTTTTTTGCTGTTGTATGTCTTAAAGCGTGTGTGTGTGTGCGAATTTTAATCTTCACATGTATATATGCTTCTGCTGCTGCCGTCTTCTATATCTATCCATGTTTTTTTATATGTATAAATTCGTATGTTGATATCAACGTGTCTCTCTCACAATTTTCCATTGTGTTTGCTTTGGATTTAAGGGATTACTGACATCACATAATACAAAACATTAGCTATACCCCGCACATTCACTTTAGTCGTCTCTCACTCGCATATATGTGGGATATATGTCTGTGTATATATTTTGTATGAGTATAAAACCCATTTTTTGGATTTCAGGAAATAACTCAAAAAAAAAAATCCTCTCCTCCCCTCTCCTTCATCCATCCATTTATCCATCCATTTCGGAATCAGATGTATTTTCATGATAAACTCTCAACCTCACACTCACACTTACTCTCTCAGTTCCTCATCTTAAAGTAATATGGATATAAAATATACTAGTGTGGTTACTCGTTAAGCATGACATGTGGATGAACTTTCTTTTTAATAGGATGGCTGGGTGTTTGGGTGGTTGGCTGAGAAGCTTAGATAGTTCTGCAGTCAATCAGGTATTCAAAGAGATAAAAAAGCATGCTTACATTCAGACAGTGATTCAGATGTTTAAAAGACAATCAAGCAGGAGCTGGTATGCAACCAGGCAGCCAGCCAGACAGACACCTTAATGACAGCCATTATATTAATCAAAAAATACGTATAGATGACGTAACATAAAAAATGCGAATGAGATCCGAAATGCGAGGAGATTACGATTATCCCTCAAGCATTATGCATGAATAAATTCCACATTAAAATCCCTAAAAAATGGGAAAATCCAATTCGTCGAGAGTAAAAGAGAATAAAGACTAACTGAATAGAGAATTTTTATTCATCATCATCAGATTGATATATATTCAGTCGCAACAAAAAAAGGGATTGAGACTTTAGGATGATAAATTTATAATGCGAAAGGGTGATTTTTATTCTATCTGTTGTGATTTTTGCGTACACATTTTTTGGTGTATGTAATTGTGAAAAAATATTTTTATTTAAGTTTTTCGTTCTAGAGGGGATAGATAATGACGATAATTCCTTGCTTTTCGAATGTCAATTGTAAAATGAGATTTGAAAATTTATTTTTTGAAATTTTTTTGTTGGCTTTGTTTTCGACTCTTTTGTTTGATAAATGATTGCAATTTCACGTCACTTAAGTATGATAATTATTAATCATTAAATAAAATGGTTGATGTTTGACTTTGTTCAAGTTTTTTTTTGGGAATTTTAATTAAATATAATTACAACGTTAGAATTATTAAGTTTTTAACGTTTTTAATAAAATTAATGGGTTTGCGTATGTCTGCTGGAGCCGGTATCAAGAGTTTCCTGCTGGACCCTCCCTTTCTTACTCCAAAAAAATCATCAAGATCCTCACATCTAATCAATCAATCCAAGATCAAATCTTAAACCTCAAAAATTCCATTCAGAACATTCAATTCCATCAAAATAAAAATAAAGCCAATAAAATTGTACTCACAGTTCATTTTTGACACATCAAAGTCCTTCCTCTCAACGGATGGTGACGGCAGAATTTTCTCTGGACCATTAATGTGACTCGGGAATTGCTGATTATGATTATTATTCATTCCATTATTATGTGGATTATCGCCAATATGATGATTCAATTTCTCATTTGACGGTACGGGTGTTGATGTAAATTTTGAACTGGACAACGATGAATTCATATCACCTGCTATATTTGGATTTTCACTTCCATCACCCGAATTTATATGTATTGGTGTCTTCGAACTCGATCGCGAATGTGAATGTTGACCATCTGCTGTTGCTGGACTTCTTAAACTTTCACATTGTCGTTCGCGATTGTGTCCAGGTGGAGATCCCGATTGCTCTTTTTTGGGTGTTTTAGGTCGGGTCAATGCCAAAGCTTGTGTCTGTAATGGAATAAATATAAAAAAAAATTATAAAATTAATGGAAATTGTAACAATTTATTAAATGATGCAAATAAATCGTTATTAACAAGGCAAGTAGCAAGCAAGCATCACCCACAATATTAATGAACATCATGTCGTATAAAAAAGAATTTATTCAGTCAAATGTCAACGTTTTGTGAGTGATTTTTTTATGTGCTTCATTTGAAGATTAATTTATGTGGATTTAAGCAATTGTCAGTTCACAGTTTTGGGAACAACAAGTGCAAGTTATTGCACTAACATCACTAATATTATCTGCTTTGTATCAAAACTCGTACACAGTCGTATTTTTAAATAAGTCTAGCACGCGAGAATCATGGCTTGGGGTTTCGCTTTATTGAATTTATGGTTTTTTATTTCAAATTTCAATTGAGTGATTTATGAAAATTTTATTTCATTTCTTTTCTTTTCCTTTCACTTCATGAGAATTCCCTCTAATTTATGATTTAGATTATTGTGTCATTGTGCGCGCACTTCATTAATGTTCATTTAATATTCTGCCCTGGCTTTACTTCTTCTCATATTTTAAAACTTGTGCTGCTGCTGCTTTTGCTGCTATGGAAAATTGTTATCTCAAATAATTTTTTTTTCATTTACATTTTTACAAAAAAATCTCTCAATTCGGGGTTGAAGAGAAAATTTTTCTAGTTTTTAATTTAATTCCATAAATCATTAGAGTTTTGACAGTGCCTTTCACAACAAAATGAGATGCCTTGAATTGAGAGATTAGCCAAAAGGTATGAAATAAAATTTTTTCTTCCTTATCGTTCGAGAAGTCGTATAAAAGTTTTGGCTGCTGCTTCTTTGTTTTTTAACAGAAGTAATTTTTTGAGAGTCTAGAAAAAAAAGTTGAGATGAAGAAGAATAACTGGAAGCTGAATGGGTGCCAGTAAATACTATTTTGAGGGCCCTTGTGGGGAAATTTTATTGAAACTTACAGTAATTGATCGAAAAATTGTGAACATTTAAGAAATTATTTTGTGGGAGCTTAGTGAAGCTGTTAAGTGCTTATTTGGGTTTATTGGCTAGCTGATAGGTTTTATTTCAGTGTGATAACTTAAAAGACATTGGTTTGAATCCCAGAATATACAATTTGACTTTTTTAAATCTTTTAATTACTTCCAATGCTTAACTAATGAGCGTTTTATGAATATTGTAGGTTTAGTGGATGTTGCTAGCTTATACACATGAAAATACTCAAGGAGCTGGCCTATGATTAACATTTCATTAAGAAATTGATCAAAATCTTAAAGAATATAATTCAGTATTAAGTGCAAAGTAAGTTTAGTAACGGCACGATGCTGAAGCTATCAAGTAACGTTAAAAGTATCCAAAATATCCCCAAAAACTCAAATCCGCATCCACCAAATATTCAAATAAATTTCTACACAAGGGGTCCACCCGAACACACCGAACAAAAAAATAAAAATTCATAAAAACAGTCGCGAGTATCAGTAGCTCAAAAAATTTATTAATAAGAAAATTTGTTTCCATTTCACATCGTCTCCTAACTCATTTCTCTAACTTTATGACATTATTATATATATTTTTTTTTGTTGGAATTATCGTTTCTCCACGACTGAATGACAAACAGTCAGAAGATCAAATAAGAAAGATTAACCGTGAGTATTATATTTATATACATCTACATTAAACTCAAAATGCCGCGCGCAAAAAATGAGAGATGATGAACCAAAAAAAAAAAATAAGAAAGATAATTTCGCACTCAATAAAAAAACTTTTATAGATCATAAATGTTTATTATTATGACTTTTCTCGGCATTCTCGCAAATTCCGGTGACGACTTCAGAGTGAGATGAAATTCTTTGGGCTGCCTTAAGACAGATTAACATACATATTTTAGTCTTTATTTGAATATTTATTGTCGTATGAAGAACAAATCGATGAAAGATTCGTTTGACGATTGCTTAAGCATGGAGCTTGATGCATAAATTTTTACTCGAATAATAAAAAAGCAAAAGACATTCAGTTAGAAATGCTATCGGAGAATTTATGGCGTGTTCTTCTGGTTATACAACTAGATTATTGGTTGTGCATTTATTACGTGTTGTAAATGATATTATCATGTATAAATGAATTAACTGATCTTACCAAGTTGATTGACTTATGTTAATTAATTTCGCTGTAGAAATTTCTATAAAAATTACTCATTAAATATGAGTTGTCTTGTTTGCAGCTTCTTTTTATGACTGATTACAAGATAAAGTATGATCATAACAAGATCTGATCGAGATAATGGAATCTATTTGAATTTTTTATGGAAATCTTTGGCGTTGCTGGTTGTATTTAGAATTTTTTCTTAAATTGGGTGTTGTAGCTACTCTAGCTTGAATAGTTTCTTCAATTTAGCTTTGTCAGATACTATTGGGTCAGTTTTAGGGCGCCTTACCCTAGGGACAGTCAAATTTCACTCTTTTAAACATAATTCGGTAATATCCAAGTGATCTGTTAACTACTTTTAAAAATAAATCTCAAGTAACAAACCGATTCTCTCACAAATGTCTTTATTGAACCATAAAAGGCCCTATAAAAAACAATAAAAAATCATCCCTTATTAACCATAACGAAAAATAAATAAAATCACATCCATGACACTATCAAGAATCTCAAAAAACAAATGAAGCATGAAAAGAGCTAGAAAATGAAGATAATGAGGCAAGAAACCCTCTTGTAGACAATATCAATGCAATCTTTCCATTTTACCCTGAAAAAGTGACATTCAGGAAATTAAAGCGACATAAAAATGTTTGTGAGAAGAAGCTTCAAGAAGTGTCATACATTGTGCATTGTTCTGATTGTCACAGACAGAATTCATTGAGAACAATTATTGAGTTAATGAAAAACAAAATAAGTAAATGAAAAATCATCAATCTATGATGAGGGGATGACGATAATAAAGACATTGAAAATGTTTTCTTTTCTCGGAATATAGTCACATTTTGATGACATCAGTAGAGCGTCGTAAACAGTATTATTGTGAAATTGTCTGAATTCTTCTTTATTAATTGATTTCAAAGAATGTGTTATAATTGTCGCGACACATAACTTTACTTAATACTAATCTCTTTCATAAAAAATAGTGAATATACATATTCATCTCTATTTTATTGAGTGATGATGATGACGATTACACAACTCACGAATCGTCTTAATTTTTATTTTTTTCTAGTTGAAGATGAAATTAATTTTTTATATCATGAAAAAATTTTAAAAAAGATTTTTTTTTCTTTTCTGTTTGTGAATTAGAAGATATGCCGACTTGGGTGGCTAGGGTTAGAGTTTCAAATAAATTGACTAAAAAAATGAAAAAATTCAAATTTATTACAAGAATAGCTTATTTTATAGAAAGTCTAGCTCATTTTATAGGAAGACTAGCTCATTTATAGGAAGACTAGCTCATTTTATAGCAAGACTATTTCATTTTATAGCAGGACTAGCTTATTTTATAGCAAGACTAGTTTATTTGTAGGAAGACTAGTTCATTTTGTAGGAAGACTAGCTCATTTTATAGCAAGACTAGCTCACTTTATGGCAAGACTAGCTTATTTTATAGTAAGACTAGCTCATTTTATAGCAAGACTAGCTTATTTTATAGAAATACTTCCTCAAATTTAAAAAAAAATAAACTAAGCTAACACAAATTTCATCATCAGTCCACCCCATTCATGCCTGACTTAGTTTCTTCAGAAAATATTTTGCTCGTACACAATAAAGACAGAAAAAAACACATTTTTTGCCTCCGAAGAAATTTTATTAAAAAGGTCAATCGATGTCAAATGGAATCACGAACAATATCTGTTACACATTTAAATTATCATTTAATCGAATGCGCTTAATTCGATCGAGTCAATGATTTGAGTATGGAAATTTTCATATCTTCTACATATCATTGGCATCATTCAAAATCAATAGCTGAAATGTATCTATGTATGTGGCATATTAAAGTGATACTGTTAGCAGAATGCAATTCCCATGATGCTCTATACGATTGTGCAAATATGTATGTAAAAATGTAAGAAATTGAGTGAGCGTTATTATAAAATTCAATACAATCACCAGCTGCGCAGCGTGGCTGGAAAAATTCAAATTGTCCACCGATACAAGTCATCTTCATAAATGTTATTCGCTTTTTGCCCGTTTTTTTTATTTGTCCCTTTCAGCAAAACAATTCGTAATGCTGAGCACAATAAGAATTTAGCCATCCATCTCCCCGCGCGCTTTTTTTTTCTTCATTTTTCATTTCATTTTATTTGTTGCTTCTCAAATGAAATTGAAGAATTTCTCAAACTTTTCATTCTACGCGTAATTATTTATCATAATTGAACAGTTTAAATCAATACGACGACAGTAATTTTGGCAATAAAAAACATCATCTCAAATCATCCATGGAACTGAGTTGGAAAAAAAATAAGAATTATTTTGAGATCGAAGAAATATATGAGTAAGTTGAGGAATTGATTATTTGTTGGATCATGGATGGTTGTGGCGCTTCTTATAGAATATAGTTGAGGTTTCGTGAACAATAAGGGACTAGATTGAGTGGGAGACTAGGTTTAGTAAGAGACTAGGTTTAGTAGTTGACTAGGTTTAGTAGAGGGCTAGATTTATAAGAAAACTATGTTTAATTTGGGGCTAGTAGTACAACTACTTGACAGGACTAACGGCACTGTCAGAAAATAATACTTCAAATTAGCGTTCTGCCAACGTTTTCATAAAAGTTCATCTGGCTAAATGGCAAACCTTGTTGCACTTATGATAAAAATAAAGTTTTAGAGAAAGAGGTTCGATTCCTAATAGGCGGCAAAACATTACAAATGCTGTTAATAAATATATGTCTATCCTTATTTTTGTAGTCTTATTGATCAATTTTTGAGAATTTGCAGTTACCACTTTGAGAAATGCTTTCCTTAAACCTTCAAACATGAGCCTAGTAGCTACT